ACTAACCATAAAAACATTAAATGCACCCAGATCGATGTGTGCCGCTTTGCAATTGCACCAATTATTTTATATGTAAATTAAATTGACTGTCGAATGAAACCACTAAAAAAATGCATAGAAAACTTGATTTTTCCAACAAATTATTTTTATGCAATAATGAGAGAAAACATATGTAATCTAACGCTTTTATCAGATATATTTAGAGAAATGACTTTATTATCTTTAATATCCTACGTATGCGAATATTGAGTTAAGCCATGCAAATTTCCTACAACCGCTATTTAATTAGAGCTGACATACATCTTAACATCTTAACGGTAACGGAGTATATAGATAGCGGAGTTCACTCTAGGAAACTGGATATATTCACACATTATAGACTTCCACTGCAATATTTTTCACGCAGTAGTTGTGTCTACGAAGGAAGTTACAGTTTGCATATAAGTGGAAAATCTATTTAAAAAGAGAATACAGGGTTATTCATTTAATGGCTTTAAAACTAAACGTACATATATAAAACACACTAGTTATTGCGATTTTGATCAATTTTTACTGCAATATATTGCTTGGACGTTGGCTTTAATTGTAATATACAACATAATTCAGATGTTCTTCGACAGACATGTTACAGTAGTGAATCCTATTGGAAGTTACCTCAAAATTTTCGATAGCTTGTCGTCACATAGTTAGCAGTACCTCGCCTACAACTCGACGGATGTTTGTTTTTAAAGCGTCAAGAAGTTGGGGATTGTCAATATGAACACGATGCTTCACGTAATCCTACAAAGAAGTCCAATAGTAACATATCGCATGATCTTGATGGTTAATTCAGTTTACCATAACGTTCGCAAAATTTATTGAGCACAAAAACTACAATAAAACATGCTGTGTAGCCTGTGGAACAGTCCTGTTGAAACCCCATATTTTTCATATTCATATCTTCAAAAAAAATGTGTCAAACTAGAAGTTAGTGAAGATGTGGTTGTAGCGTTAAGAATTGACTGATTATGTCACATCTGTTTAAAAATAGGAATAGATCTATTACACCTTCAACAAATCAATAAGTGAACAAAAGAAAAGAAATCTATTTGAACACTGGAGAGCCCAAACAGACATGTGGCAGTCAAGAAGATTCATTGATTCTGAGCACATCAAAGTTGACGCTATTCTTAACCTTAGTAGAAACTCTACACTGAATTTCTAACAGAGCACTGTATACTCAATTACCATATGAAGAATATAGTTGCGGTAGAAAGTGTTTCCTATCAACTCTGTAGTGAGGAGAAGGAAACATTAGAACATGTTCTATGCAACTTCTCAGCGTTGGCAAGACGTAGACTTGACTACCTTGGAAACGGGATCTTGGTTGCAAATCGAATAGATACGAAATGTACCTACTATGCAATCGCTATTTTGGTAAAAAGCTTTTACAATTTTAACATGTTTAACAGTTATTAAACGATCCATATTGTAAAATGTAAAATATACTAATGATGTCTCAAATGTGTATTATATGTCACTATAATAGTGACATACAAAATGGATAAGTTTTTATTAATGCTATCAAACAGTTAATCTGCTCTAAAGTTCTTGAATTCAATTCAAATAACTTATAGGTCGGAATTTGGCTGCTATGCATTTTGGAACAATATTTGAGTTCAATATAGATTTATTGTAGGTGCCTGGTCGTAGTACTTTTGGAACTAATTGAAAGAAACATATTCACAACATCATACAAACCTTAGAATACCTAGCAACAAATCACCAATTGTGTGAATTTTTCTTAATAAAAAAATACAAGAATGGAAAGATCAATAATATATAGATAACTACAGGTCAGTTATTTTTTCATAAAAAGAAAAAAATATAGTTATCTCATTGAGATGCCCTGTATAGGTTTTATATAAGATTGTCTATTAAGTCACTGTCGGTTAAAAAATCAGCAAATTAAATACTTTCCTCAATGATTTTCAGCGCAGAAAGTGCTTGACATCTTATAACTTACTTTCTAGAAAAAATATCATATTATAGCACCTCCACTTGGAAAGCACATTGGGTTTCATTAAAGAAACGAAATGGTTTCAAGGTCTCCGGAATTTATACAGCAATACGCTAAGGCGAGCAGACGTAAGTGAATACATAGGATTATCATAATAATTTTACAATCTACATCCTTAAAGTTGTATATTGTAGATTCTTATATGATTAAAATTGCTATAGAGCACATAAATGAAATATTTTTTAAAATTTAAAGTAATTATTATTAATGAAAAACAAGAGAACAATAAAGAGTGTGAGATCATCTAAATGATATATCAGAGACAGTAATTAGTTATCGGAAGCACACTTCTGTCGCTATAAGAAAAAAGTAAGATGTTGGAAAAAGAGGTCTGAAAAAAAAGAAAATCTGGAAGGTAGGAAAGAAAAAAATATCTGGCCCCTGAAACAGTTTTAACAAGTAAAATATATTATTTCAGCTTTGTTGAACATATATTTTAAGTGCCTTTATCTGAATAATTCAGTTCAATGGCAACCTTATCCCTACTTAAATTGCTTGACTTATAATTATAAATATTTAAATGTAATATTTGAGAAGAATTGATTAATAACTTTAAAGTAATTTCTAACATTATTATATTGTAATATAGTGTTTAAATAATGCAGTTATGATTTGCCGATTAACACAATCATACAGATATCAGCATAAAGGTATAGAAATGTAAACGTTGACCCTACTTGTCGTAGCATTACTTGCAAATAAAATACATATCTGAAACGCTCACTTTTCTGAGCAATGTGCCAAATTTAAATCTTTATTAAAGCCTTTATTAAAGTGTTTGACTAAGTCAGTTAGGTCAATAGCTCCCTCTACGTAAGCTCTCATTCGCCTACTTCTAGTTACATGCAGTGATAACAGTTTAAACAGATATATTTTCTTGATAAGTCCAATAGATCCTTGTTGGGGTTTAGGCGCGGTTAGAAAACACGTCAGATAATTCTTATTTAAGAATTGAAATAGATGAAAATAATCAACCATCCAAATATTTAATTTTAGTTCTATCTAAGACCTATCATTAATAATGTGTCAAACGACATAAACCTTTTTTGTATTTTTGTGATAGATTAGGGAAATACTAATAGAATAGCTATGATTTGAATGCTAAATAGACTTAGACAATGTGCTATTAGAGCTAAACTATAAACTTAAAACTTCTAAAAAAGTTCTCAATGTTTAAAAAACTCTATATTGTTGTGGTGAATTAGGATTAACATATATTAATATTACTGATATGACTTGGAAGTTGAATGGAATTAGATAAGGTACTATTGGAGGTAATATATAAACTGGTATAATTTCTTTAAAAAAATTTAGACTTATAAGAAAAAACATTGTCTATCACAATGATCAATAGTTAATACATTAGAGAGGTAAGTACCATATATAAAACTATTGCATATTATTAATATTAATTCATACTAATATGTAGTTTTTATCAAGATAATAAAATATATCACCATTGTAATAAAAGTTTTTTGTTACTTTCTCATAAGCAAGTGGATCAGTGCATTAGTGATTTTGAAATATATATGGATTTCTTGTATGAAAGGCGACTCAATATAATCACTCGAAATTTTAGTATTACTACTAATAATATAATTACTATATTATATGCTATAGACAAACATCACTAATTAGTTTGCGTAAATTATTACTTCAATAGGGAACCGCGTACTTCTGTATACTATATAGTAGTAATTCTTTCTACAGATATTTATTTTTTTTCCGTATATTTTTTTAATTTACTATAACCTGACAACTTATAGTATTGACTATTCAGTCATTTAACGGTACTGTATATACATTGTGACCGAAAAGTTTCCGGAAATAAATAAATAAAACGCAAAATTCTTAATCTTCATCAATATTTATTTTATCTCCTTCAAAATATGCTCCATTAGAAGCGATACACAAATCCAACGTTTCTTCCAATCATCAAAACATTTTTTATAGGCGCTTTCCGGTATGGCTTTGAGTTCCCTCTGCGAATTCTGTTTTACGTCTTCTATGGATTCAAAACGCGTTCCTCTGAGTGGTAATTTGAGGTTGGGAAACAGGAAAAAGTCACACGGTGCAAGATCAGGTGAATACGGTGGCTGTTCGATGGTATTTATTGAATGTTTGGCCTTAAAATCGTTGATAATGTTGAACAAATTGAGGTGAATCGGAACAAGCCGGGCGTTGACACGTCGCATACACAAATTGTCCACCAAAATCAAACGAGCCATCTCACGACCGATGCCTAGCTCTCGTGCTATCTCTCTAACACTCACATGAGGATTTTTGAACACGATTTCCTTTGCCTTTTCAATGTTTTCGTCGGTGGTAGAGGTCGAAGGTCGTCCAGAACGCGGCATGTCTTCGACGGTCGTACGACAGTCCTGAAAGGCTTTGTACCACTCATAAACTTGAGTTTTCGATAAAACTGATTCCCCATAAGCCTTTTGTAGCATTCGCAACGATTCTGCACACGAAATTTCGTTCGAAAAACAAAATTTGATGCAAACTCTTTGTTCAATATTTTTTTCCATTGTTTTTTTCGCAACGCACTACTGAGGTGAACTGGTTTCAACAGCTGCCGTAAACGAACTGTCTGACAGATCGCGCTCATTTTTGGCATAGTAATTAATGACAGTGCTGCCAAACTACATAAACTTAATATCGAAAAATATACAGCGCGCGAATTTTAAATGAGAATTTCCGAAAGCTTTTCGGTCACAATGTATGTTTGGTATACATTGCTCCCTCTTAAAGATACAAGTAACTGCAGCAAAAAATACCTGGAGAGATATCTATTCAAAATGCTGGAACATAGTTTATTTAAATGACCTAATAGGGCGCTGTGCTTAAGTGATAGTTAAGAATATAGAAGAAAGATCCAAAGTCAAAAATAAAACGAAGGAGGCCATATGTTATATGATATCTCTTTGGTCTTAATTAACTAGTCCGTCTGAACTATGTAAATATTTTAGTTTAAATTTTTAAAATTAATTTAAAATTAAAAATTCATTTAATAATAATGAACTTAGTTTTCATATTTATGCTTAAAATATTTAAAATCCTTATTTAGGGCTAAGGGAATTAACTATATTTGTTATTTTAGTCAAAATTAATAAGCAGTAAGCAGTATTACAGCAAAAGCATTAATTTACTTTCATAGTCTAGCACACTTCCGTACTCTTAGGGTAGTTAAAGTTAGTTAAAATAGGACACCTTACCTTTCATTTGATCCATTGGATAGCCAGCTTGGTGCTTATCGTTATATGAACCAGGACGTTCTATAAAATTTCAATAAACATTATTTTTATTGGCACATTAAATAAATATTTTCTTACTTTTATTTCCAGATAAATAATCTTCTGGATTGAAATACGTAGAAATAGTTTTGTCGTCATAAGAACCATCACTATGTGGCGCAGAATCATTTCGCCGCACGTAATCGTATTGATTACTATCGCTCTGACCATTATTGTATCCCGGTCTAGGGTCACGTTGAGGTGGCGGTCTTGCACTGGCCCCGGCATTGTTATAACCATTTTGAGGTGGATCTGGACGGTTTGTATAATCTACAAAACTACCCGGTGCTGGAGATGGTGGTCTTTGATCTTGTGCTGGCAGACGATTTGGTCCATATTCTGGACGTGTGTAGTATGTTGATGGTGTTGTATGATCAAAATCAGGTCTCGTGGGACGACTATTTGGTCCTATGGGTCTGTCACTAGGGTATGAGCTTGGTCTAGCTGTATAATCTGGTCGATTTCTATCATAATCATCCGGTCTTGCCGTAGGTGGGCTGTATGGTTCGGGTTTACCATAACTATAACCAGTTCCATAACCTAATCCAAAAATTGGTCTTGGTGGACCATTTGGTGTAGGTCTTACACTATCATCTGCAGCATAACCCGGACGATAATGATCTGCTACTTCGGGTACATTCGAAGCATAACCTCCTGGTATGTATACATCTTCATTTGGTGCAGGATAATTTGGTTCATACAACATTGGATATTTGTATAATGGATAAACATCTTGTGTGAAATATAGGCGATCACCATTTGTGGTAGTTGGTCCTAATGTAGATATTGGCCCCTCTGACAAATTTATTACTTGTGTGCTGCCATAAACACTAGTTGGTGGCTGTGGTGTATCACTCAACGTAGTTGAAGTGGTGGGTGATGGGTTAACAATAAGTATTGGTGTGCTTTCGACAGGTCTACTTGGTACGCTGATTGTTGGTGTTGATGGCAAGCCACTGTAACCTCCTAAGTCTCTAACTGGGACATCCGGCATTGTGATTGAGTTATCACTCAAATCGAAACAATTTGTCTTTCGTGCATACAAATCGAAGTCTGGATCGTAAATTATACCACTTGGACGTCCACTGCTTAGGCTATACTTTTGCGTCGATAATTGACAGGTGCCATTTCCGCGTCGATGCACACTAAGCATAAAAAAGAAACGAAATCAGTAAAGTTTTAACATTATATACAAAATAAAACTAATAGTTAACTGACCCCAAAAACGGAGTTAGTTACTTAGTATGTAACTCACCCAAATGATATTGCCTGACATTTTTCGCCCGCTTGTAAGCATTTATCTTTGCACATTTTCAATGAATTGGTGTCTTCGGTACGGAAAGTCTTTTCAAATGGCAGCATCGCTTCCAATGCTATGCGCTCGAAACAATCTGTAATTATTAAATTGAAAAATTGTTGTAATTAAATCGAATTTTAACAATTTTTTGAATTTAGAAATAATAACGATTATGCAATTGCTAAATGTACATAATACACATATTTTGTAATTTCCGCTATAGATTTGTATACTCTTATGTATAAACAATACTTAATCTATTAATACTTAATGTCAATAAAAAAATTTTTTCTTGCATATTCCACACTTAATATACAACAATCTAAAATGTTTAGAAAAACCTTGCAGATACAAAAAATTCAATTAAGTATGAAGATTTGATGATGCAGTAACTTTTACTGAGGTACTCTCGTACATGTTAAGTAATTACTTCTTGCACCTTAGGCGCAACAATTGTGCCATCGTTTTAATGATCTCTCAGGTTTTGGTTAATTAGCCTTCTTAATAAATAATAAACAAATCAATCTTTAATTGAAATTTAAACAATCTGAAATATTTAAAGCTGTAAAAAATAATTATGATCTTGTTTAAAACATTTTAACTACTTTACTCTTTGAGCTATCGGCTATTGATCCTACGAAATGACTAGATTGATTGATTGCAAAAGTATTTTATCATTAAATATATTGCCTAAAGAAATGGGAGAAGAAAATATGAAAAAGTCAAAAAGATAAGTGAAAAGGACTTAAAATGGAACTCTGAAATAATAAAATTTTAATAATCCTATTATTGTTATAATAATTTGATATCGACTTGCTACCACTTTGGCTATTAACAATACATAGAATATATTTCTAACACTGAAATAGTTATTAAAGAAGTTTTAAAAAAAGGTTACGTTAGTTTAGGTTGCAGCTTCGATGCTAAGGATCTATTTAGACCTATTGACCCATTGTGTTACTGTTTAAGAACATGGAGATTTAAGAGCCATCTTGAACCTTTCGGAAAACCATAAAAACATTTTACAGAGAGGTTATAGAAGATGTTCAAATAAGTAAGCCACTTGGAAAGTCTAACACCGTAGATAGTCACATAGCCGATGAGAGCCACTTGCATAGTCCTTCCTCACAACTGTGACAGGAATAAATAAATAAGAGATGTAATCTTTTAGCATGGTTCTCTAAGTGACTGTGACCCATCAACAAATCTACAACAGAACTGATATGTTTACAGAGTCTTTCCTAATACTAAATTGTGCAATTTTCTGTATTGATCTGATTTCAACAACTGCCGGCAGAATGCCCAATGTTGGGTGTGCATACGAACGACGTTCATCTGTGGTATCACAACGGCCCATAATTTGAGCATAAGTGGACTTTTGTGTAAACTAACCTAGCCTATATACAAATATTTATATATACAATAATGTTTATATAAAACTGTTATTTAATCTTATTATAATAAATTGAGTGAACTGCAAGAAGGCGCAAAGGCAAAAAATGTTTACATTGACCCTTACAGTACAATGGACCTTTACGGTATGAGTCTGTATATCTTTCTACAAATTATTCTCATAGTTGATTTTAGTGGTCAAATACAGTGTTTTTCAAAGCTTTTTACCTACCGAAAAAAAAAGTTTAAAAAATACGACGTTTGGCACAATATTGATTACACCGCTAATTCGATTTGTACTAGAGTTGTCATAGAAAAACTGCAGAACCAGCATAAGAATGCCGACGAAACCAGCATTAGCGCCATATACTTCCAAGATAGAAATGATCAATAGCGATGAATGCATGAAATACAGAAAAATACAGATCAGACTAAAGGAGACTTTGAAATATAAAAGTAGGAGATCTATATTTATTTCCCGATTCTTTTCGTATATATTTAAAATAGTTGGGGCAACATTATTTGGGATTTTGTAACACGTCTCATAATTGAAATACAAGCAGTTTTTAGATTTGCAAAAAGCATTAACATTGATTTACTTTAAATTAGTACATGATTACTACAAATTTAAAACATTGATTTATTTATATCTGGTATCAATACGTCTATATTGGGTTTACAGTCAGCCAAATTAAGTTGACATAATTTCAATTCAACTGAGTGAAAATATAATTCTTAAATAATAGGGTACTAATGCGCCCAGACCTAAAAAATCTATTGTGCGCCTAAAGGCCCAACTAAAACAATTCTAGATTTTTTATAAATCTTGTATTTGATTTGGGACTTATAGTCGACAGAAGTCAGTTTCTACCGCACCTATAATCTTCATGTGGTAATTAAGTCTACAGTGTCTTGTAAGAAGTTCAGTGTAGATTTTAATGTCTTTTCTGCTAAGGTCAAGGATAGTCAAGGATCAAGGACTTTGACGTGTTCATGATCAATGAATTTTCTTGAGTATCCCATGCCTGTTTGGGCTCTCCAGTGTTAAAGTAGATGTTGTTTCCTCCGTTCAAATTATAAGTTATTTGTTAAGTTATTTGTAGAAGCTATTTTCCCATTTGCGGAATTCGGGTTCCATAATTCCTGGTCCTGTACTGCCATCTTCCATTTTGGACCCATGGTATACTGCCATAATTGAGAGCCCTGTTTTAAGATAATCTTATTGTTCCTCTAAGTTGATCACTGATGACCACTTCGAATACCCTGGAGAAAACTAATATTCTATTTATCTTATCAAAGACCTTAAGGTACGAAGAATTTCAGACTTCATCTAGAATCTTTGCATGTCCTGTCACATTGTCCTTTTTAAGATTACATAGATAAAGAATCCTTAGTGAGGCACTGGTCGCAGTCCTTTTAACCATATAATTTATACTTCTACTACCAATGGCACATAGGGCTACAATATTTCTTCTAAATCTGATTCTATTTGATGCATCTCTGTAGATGTTGTTCCAGGTATATAGTGACTCAGGTAACTTGCTTTCAACTGGTCTTCTCCACCCATCATTTCTAATACATAAATAATTTTATAAACAATTTGTAAAGTATTGTTATCATTTATATACATAAATATCGCTTTTTATATATATATTGTTATATATACATATATATCACGTTATATATAAGTAAAGAAATAAATCTTTTTAGTTTTGCTCTCCACCAAAAACAGTTTTTCATATAATTATATGTTGCGATTATTGCGTTTTAGCGCGATTTGCGAGGGAATTCTAAATTTGTTTGTTTACATGCAATTAACTTTTTGGAACAAAATGTAATGACATTGTATCTGCCTCTTAAATTTCTTTAATTATTTATATATTTTATTTTACGAGTATTGTGAGTATCTGAACAATTAGTGTGTCTGCAATGAGCGATGATGTGGAATTTTTAGTGCATGACGAAAAAAACGTGCCACTAGGAGAATTTAAATTTTTATTTTTATTTCATTGTCTAATGCAAATTTCATTGACATGCAATTTTAAATTATTTTTGTTTTTAAATTTGTTAGTAAACAAACATTTTGTAGTTTTGTAAGAATAAAAACGAAAATCAAAATCTATTAGAGAGTATATGAAGAACACTCTTATAGTTTTTTTTCCTAATGATTTCATTGTATAAATATAAATTTAGAATAAATGACGCCTAATAGGTAGCACGAATAGGTAAAATTTAAGTTCTAATCGACGATCTTTGCGGCTTATGCTACGACGAGGAGAAAGAATAATCAAGAGCCTTTTCCGAGGTAATGCATCTGGGCACTTTTACTCTATGATGGCTGGGGGTATAATTTGAGTATTCCTTATAATCTCCGTTATTATTCAATTATTGATCTAAGATCTGCGTACCGCCCCGTGCAGTTAGTGATTACTCTGAGATTAGATAGTGTTAAGTAGGGCAGATTGTCGGTTTTCGCATATAGCCTCAGAGCTCTGTCCCTTATCTATTTTTTGGCCGGATCTATTCTAAGGTCTCTTAGTATGTCATTCGTGCGGATGTACCATGCAAATGCTTAACTTTAACTTACCAATAAGCCTGGCAACAATTCTTGGGAAACTCTTCATAGAAGTCGGCGAAAAGCTATCAAAAGTTGATATCGGAAGGCACATGAAATTCTATAAGAAAATGAATTGTTCAAAACTTAGACGAAAAAGAGGTAATCACATTCATTTTCAGGATTATTCAGTTTTGCCTAAAAGAAGAAAAAGAGATTTAGGAATGTGCTTTCTTGACAGTCCGTCAGATTGCTCCTTAGTAAGAAAAAAGAACTGTTACATTACAAAAACTCAACTGGATGGATCTAGGCTTTGTATAGGGGATTTTTGCCAAATTTGTGGTATTAATACGGGAAGTAATTGCTAACTATTAGAGAAAGAATGGCACCTGCCGATCGGCCAATGCAACCGATATCAAACCAGGTCAACAGCCGAATATTCAAATCAGCAAACTTCAAAATGGTGCCATTGATTATGAACTGCTAAAATCTGACAAAAGTATCATAGAAGTGTTGTCAGTTAACATTTGACTCATCTGCAGAGAGATGTGACCGAAAATTGACCTGAACATCCATGAACCGGTAATTTTTCAAAATGATAGCCCAATGTATCAATAATAAGTTTGATTTATTGTTAATTGCAAAAGATGACCAGTATTGTCAATTCACGATATTTTGAATAATGTATTGCCAATAATTTATTACAATAAAGCTATACAAAATTTCGGTTTTCAAGTTGTGATCAAAAAATTAGGTGGTGTTTAATTTAAAATTTTTTATTCTAAAAATCTTGTTTTTAGGTTGGTAATACTGTCACTGACATCCACGTTCAATTAGATTTTAATATCTGGAGTTATTTTTGACTTTTGCTTATCCCGTTAGCCCAAGGGATATCTCCAAATGCACTGTATAGACACATTAAAAAGATAAGAACCAAATCACTTTGATCTTTAAAGGCTATTCTAAAAACCTCCTATAACTATTGTTTCGCGGATTGGGAAAAACTTAAGCGTATAAGTCCAATTATGAGTCTTTTATGAGTCTAATAGGAACTTTTCCACTGTTTTGCGGCAACATTCTCATCACTAACTACGTGCGGGCACTATTTGAAGACAGAAGACAGTGCAGACAGTGAAATAGATTTAGAAAAAAAAAAAAATAAACAATTTCAGTTTATTTTTTAATCACAGCGTTACACCTAATACTAAAGATGAACATTAACTTTTTAAATGAGTTATCATTCTTTAATAGTTTATATCATTTTCTAAAATTTATTTTGGCATCCCTCCCCAATTTTAGGGAGTAAGTATTTTACATAATACTTATGTGCGTATAATCATTCCGTATGCTAAAGTTAAGTTAGAACTGTTGTAGAACAATATATTTATTTTTAGTATTGTTTTCATATTAACTATTAAAAATATTTTTAAGAAAATCAAATTGAATATAATAATTTACTCTTAGATTTCGAAAAGTAGTGTTTTACAATAAGAAAAATTATTTTTATATTATTTTATTTAATTGAAAATTTGTCACCATACAGTTGTTTCGAGTATTGCCAAATACCCATCATCACTGGTCTTCGAATTATGTCTAGTATTGACTTATTCGTAAATAATTTTTTGAGACTGCAATTACAGCATTCAAACTCATGCCCTGCCTAATTTGAAGCACAGAGTCAGCGTTCATTAGCCAACTGACCCAAAGCCGTATTTGACTGTATGTTTTTATTGAAGTTTTGTTAATTTGGTATGAAAGTTTATTAACAAATTCACTTGTTTTTAGATTTATTTAATATGTACTTATAAACACATTCACATATTACAATAACAATAATAGCAATGAAAAAGCAAAATGAATGGGTTCAAGTACCGAAAAAAAAAATGAAAAAACTAAAAAAATATTGCTATTTTGCTATAAAAATTTAATAGTAATTTTGCTATTGCTATGGCAAACATTTTCAATGTTAAGAAGTGTATATATATTTTTCGATTTGATTCTATAAATTTTTACCTTGGTTAAGTGCATTTAATCGGAAACAGATTTTTATTTATTATATTATTAAATATTGATTTTTAAGTCTTCATTGACTTAAGTAGAAGAATAGAATTTCTGCGGGGAATGTCACATTGAAGGTACTTACTGTTTAACATTATAATTGATACCAGAAGAACGCACTCATGAAATCAAAAAACGGAAATAAATTTTAATTAAAATTTTTTATTAATTTTATAAATGCATAAAGCATTAAACATTCTCTCTCTATTCATTTCGTTATTATTTAAGAACAATAGCTACTATGACAATTGTTATTTTATACTTAATAATAGTGGATTAATAATTTTTTGCTGGTGAATAGAAATTATGTATTTTTATTGATAGTTTGATTGTATTTATTGTTTTGCTATTAT